TAAGTTCTAGAATCCTCTTCTGCTATAAATGAATCAGAAACCTACAACTTGAATACACACAGAGTAAGAGAAATCCATACTCACATGCATATGTGTATGGATAATGAACACAAGCACAGTAGTAGAAAAGTAACACATTTCCCTAAAGACTATACCTCCAGTAGAGCCGATGGCAAATTCTTCTGTAAGGTTTGAAACCCTTTCCTTCTGTAATTAAATTGTACTCCTGAAGCTTGGGCAAGCATACACAAACACACATTCACATGTATAAATAATACACACACACACACACACATACACACACACACACAATGTAATAGTACCACAATTTTTTGGGGGGGAGAGGTTTTTTGGTTTTGTTTTGTTTTGTGTTTTGTTTTGTTTTTGCTATAGGGTGTGTGAGCTCGCCAGAAAGAGAGAGCCAAAGAGACAGAAATCACCCCCTGGGGGGATTGCTATGCCGCAATCCCTTCTCCTCCATTCTCCTCTCGGGATCTTGGGCACACACGCACACATGCATGGCATGAGTTTAAGCCTCCACGTCTGGGACTTGAACCACGGTCGACTACATGGGGGTCCAGCGACATAGCTATTATGCCAACTGCTGGTCCAGTACCACAGTTTTCTAAAAAACACTATCCAATCGTGTGGTTTGTAAATCTTTCTGATAGCTCTGAAATCCTTTTGTACTCCAAACTTATCACATCCTTGCAGCTTGAAAACGCACATGCAAATATACATTGATATATGCACACATGAATGAATAACACACACATACACAGTAGAAAGGTACATCTGTTCAGAAAATACAACTCTAGGTTTGTACACAGGACTGAATTCACATTTTAGAGACTATTTCAGTTACTCATTGGACTTTCCCAAACACTGACTTTATGAGAAAATAAATACAGATGAATGGTGCATGGACAAGTTGAGTCACTGTGACTGGACTGGCTCTCACAAAGATGTCTTTTTTTTCTTCCCGTTCATTCCTTAGAGCAGAAATATAATAAAGTTAAGCATTTGGCGCTGTGAAAATAATATTCAAAAGGCAAGGACGTGAACAGTCTGTGACCATAAGGATTCCCCCCCGATGCTCTTTATGTCAGAAGAGTTTTAAAAGTTGTTCAAAGTCTACCTCAGTGATGCTTTGGGCAAAGTAATCAAACAGAAGAAACATAAAACATCAGAGATGTTAGATATTATTGGGCAAAAATGATTTATCTTTCAGAGACTCTCAAAGAATTCTTGGAAACCAAACTTCTGGAATTTTTCCAAACTTAGTTGAACTTTTAAGTACATTAAATATGGAGCCAACAAGTGACATGGAGCTTAAAGCACTGGATTCCCACATGGTTAGCCACAGTGTGAGTTCTGGACGCTGCAACTTGAAAATCATGTCAGCTGTGTAGACATGCATGCCAAAATCCCAGGAAGAGAATGGAAAAGGGATTGTGGCATGTTCATCCCCCCTGGGGGAGGGATTTCCCACTTTCCATCTCACTTTTACAGTGGGGGATTTCTCACTTCACTACTTCTTGTCTCTCTCCTTACCCTAACCCTAACCCTAACCCAAACCTAACCCTAACCCTAAACCCTAATCCTAACCTAACCCTAACCCTAAGACTAACCCTTACCCTAACCTAACCCTAATCCTAACCTAAACCTAAGCCTCTCAGTCAACTGTATGTTCCCTATGGCAAAAACCTACAAAAGAATTCTAATACGCTGCTGGTGTGAGTGTAACTCAATTAGACCATTACGGAATACCAATGGTGGTGCCATGGAGTGAGGCTGAAAATGCACATGATCCTGTCACTCAGCTTACCTACCCTAGATTCATCTTAAAGAAAAATGCCTGTGCTAGGAGACATACACGCACATTCCTGGTGCTCATAATAGTGAAAACCGGTAGGTCAAGTGTCGGGGAGTGCTCCGGGTTGCCTGGAGTGGTTGGCTTTGCACACTGGTTCATGGCATGTTGCTCGACACGTGGGTGCACGTCTGGCACAGAGAGTGGCATTCTGGAGCCACCTGCCTTGGTCGCGAAGGCGGTGTCGACTGACCGTCGTGGACATGCTCATCACAACCTGCAAGGGCCCAACTCTCCCCCACCCCCGGCAGCTCTCCCTCAGAAGTGAAGCTTAAGATAAAACCTACCGGGGTCCAGCCTTGGCGTGGGTGGGTTATCTCAACGAGGGTGGCGAAGGTGAACAGAAGACAGAGGCCTCGATGCCTTTTCATGCACGTCCTATGCCAGACACCCCTCAGAGGTGGCCCTCTGAGGAGTGACAACTGCTAGGAATTATCGTGCCTTTTTATTGAAAATGTGTTACAAGTAAATGGGAGAGGGGCTAGTGTTTCAATTAACAACTCCAAGTTTTTAACAATAAAGAACATAGATTCTATTCAGGGTTTGATTAAGGGTGGGTCTAGTGCAGTTCCTCAATTGTAGGTGGGTCTCCATGGAATGCAGTTTCGGGGAAGCGGTTCCAGAAAGCAGAGATGATTATCAGCTGATGCGGCGTAGCAACCATCTTGTGATTACTGGGAATGGTGCTGAGAAAAGAAAATCTCAAGAATAGATATTAGTTTTTATGGATTTTAATAAAGAATGATACTTATACAGTTTTGTAGGGATCTATAACTTAATTTGAGGAATCCTAATATATTTATCTATTTTACTTAGAGAGGGCAGAGGTGTCCTGGGCCAGTTTTGGCCAAATTCTATTTTATATAAAGAAAAGATTAAGTTTACTTTAAATATATTTTAAAGGGCCTTCCAAAGGTCAAAATTACTTTTGCCTAAAAACAACTTCAGCCCACCCTCTATTGTGACCATAGAGATAAAGCATTGTAATTAATAGTAAGTGATCAGAACAAAGGGGAGCGGTCGGTCGGAGGACTTCCCAGAAGATTTTCGGGGTGCTCAGACAGATCCTGGGGCCTCGCCGGGTCAGACTCCTCCAAAAACCAACTCGTGAAAAACACCATTGGGCCTCTCATCTCAGTGGACATATCCCTCCCAAACAGAAACAGCCAGGCTCATCTGTACTGAAAAATGGAGAGTCACCGCACTGTATCGAAGACAAGATGCTCTCGACAGTTGCAATACTTACCCTCAATTAAGTATCATGTTCCTTTGTTTAAAAGACTGCAGACCATGGGACCAGCAGGTGGTGTGGTGGTCAAGGCACTGGATGCTCCCACATGGCCGACCGCAGTTCGAGTCCCGGACCTAGTGACTTGCTTTCCCACTTTCTCTCTCTCTCTGTCTCTCTCTGGTCAAATTGAAATAAATGAATAAATAAAATTAAATAAATAATTCTTTTTTTAAAAAAAGACTGCAGACCAGATAATTTATTTTATTTCAGAAGCATATTTTTCCTTATTAAAGTCACTGAGGAACATTTGAAAAAAAAAAAAAGGTCAAGTGTCTGTTGGTGGGTTCCCTGCACAGTGGATCATTATCATCCATGAAGACGGTGAACTGCAGCTTCACACAGCAACATGGAGAACTCTCAACAAGCTGAGGAGAAGGGAAAAAAACAAGCCAAAGACACATACAGAATAATTTCATTTTAGGGACCAGCAGTTAGTGTAATGGCTATGTTGCTGGACTCCCATGTGGTCAACCACGGTTCGAGTTCCGGACCCGGGGGCTTAAAATCATGCCGGGCGCGTGTGCATGCATGCCCAAGATCCCGAGAGGAGAATGGA